CCGCGTCCCAACGGCCGCCGCCCTCCTACGGCGTGACCCAGCGACACCGTTCACAGCACCACCCCCCTCGGACCCCGCAGCAAGCACCACCAGTCTGACTGCGGCCACAGGCGAGCCTGTCGCTCCCGGTCAGCATCAAACGCTGTTCTTTGAAACGGCGAATTTGGGGAAAGAAACTAAGAAAGCTTTGTCTCACCATATCCTGCACACAGCTACCAAAGGGAGGGGTGTTGCAAGTTTCACCAAAAAAAAAAAAAATTAAAGTTGATTAAACTTTTAATTGGTGCTTTCATGTAGTTCCAAGCTAGGTGGGCAAGCTAATGAACAATTTGTAAGCAAGCGTCATTAAAGAAATACAGGAAAATCCGCAGGAAGGCTCATTTATACATTAAGAAATCAGACGTTTCACTAGCAGCTAAATTGGATACCACTCATTTCAAATTGAGAAAAAACTTCTAAGCAGATTGGAGCATTTGCAGTAAATGACTTCCCCACACTTAGGCTTGAGATAGAAGAATGTCAAACCTGATTTAACCTTTGGGAAAAAACCCAGACTGCTTTCCATTCACTTGGCTTGAGGACCAGCACCACCCCTGACCACTGCCAGACGTGGCTCCTTACGGTACGGCACAGCACGCCGAGACTCGGAGAAGGCAATTCCTACACCTGGGACTAATTCTGCCAAAACAAGACTTAAGAACACACAAAGTGACTGAATCTGTACCCTTCACTAGACCACTGAAAGCCCGTTTCCTTCTTTGACAATTGATATTTTGGCCAGCGACCAGTGCAAACTACAGCCTGTTTGCCCCATCTGTCGATGCGCAGATGAACAGCGGAGCAATCATGTGAAGACTGCCTTAGGCACTCCAAAAATGTCTCTTTTCCCTCCCAAGTCCCCAGTTTAAAACTCAAGGCAGTTCAAGGCTCAACTGGAACTAAAACCCAGACTTGCCACAGCCCAGCAGAGAAGCGCTGAGTCAGCCCAGTTCACTGAACTCTTCTCTAGGCTAGTCCTTGCACTAGCCGCCTCGTGGCACCGGCTGAAAACACTTTTATTGCCTTTCCCTCTAAAAGGTGGCCTCAGGGATCCTTACGGGCTCCTTCCAACCCGAGATGTTCTGTGATTCCTAGGAACTGCAACCGTGGCACCTGGACACGGCCGAGGCCAAGGAAGTTCATGGTCTGGCCACCAAGCCTGGCTTCGACGCCTGGCACCCGAGAGGCCGGCTCTGGAAGCCAGCAGGGCAAGCAGAGCTTCCTTAAACTACAACAGAGGGCACTGGCTTCTGGACTTCCTCGCACTAAGTGGGCCTACGGGGGACAGCTGGGAGCCATTTTAAGTCTTGCCAAATGCTGCCAAGGCTCGAGGGGCTCCTCAGATGCTCACGGAGCCAAGGGGGATGCTGCACTTGGGAGTGGTGTCCTGTGGTGGGAGAGGGCATGGACCCCGCTGCTGGGACCATCAGCTTTCTTGCCAACACACTGGCCACATCGCGCACTGGTCGTGGCCAAGCGAGAGGGTCTCTCATCAGTTTATGAACAATTACGAAGAGTCCTTGCTCTGCTCATTTTATTCTGTTTAAACGCATGAAACAGCCAGTGCAGAACACCTACCTGGCTCCGAAGATGTCCTTCTTCGCTAGATCAATGCCTGAAACCACCTTCACCCTGAGGATACGAGACTCCTCCTGTTAATAAAAAAGAAAAACAGGTTTAATGTTTATTCCGTAATTCATTTTGAAGATCAGCTGCCCGCGAGAGGTTCAGCTGTGAATGAACTCTCAGCCTCTCGGTAGCAGGAGGCTTTCCTAGGTAGGAGTTTGAAAAGAAAAACCTCTTGGAAGGAGGCATATGCTGCTGAAGCATAGCCTGAGCCCGAACACGAAGAACATTCAACTCCACCCAGAGCTGCTGAGAGTTAAATAAGAGTCGATAACAGCAATGACATCACAGCAATGACATCATAGTAATAAAAATGCAACGACAACAGTAATAAAAGCAGAAGACAATTTGCTGAGCAGGGCCATTTCAAATCCTAAATGATCCATGCTCCACAGAAATTCATTCTGCTTCGACTCTGAAGCTGCCTCGTCAAACACAAGGGAAAACATTCATCACGTGTTTGTCCAACAATGCCAATACCTCTTGGTCGGAGAGATGGCTGCGCTTTAAAAAAGACGGGCTCAAAATGAAAAATAAACTCTTAGAATTATATTGTGTAAACCCATCTCAGCACCCTGGCATTTACAGAGCTCAGAAACAGCTTTCAGCGATGCAAGACGATTTCTGAAGACGTGTAGGACTAGGGCATCACCTTGGTGTTCAGTTTATCACTTCATTGCATTAAGCTCTTGAGGAACATTGGCATAAACAGTATTTTGTACTTTTTTTTCCACCCTGATTGACCAGTTTATTTTTGCTACTCAAAGAGGCCACCACAATTAAATCTGGAACGGATCCTACAGAAACAGGCTCGGCAGCCACCCGTACCAGCTAGACCTTCTTCTCCTCTGATAAGCCTGCCAGAACTGTGAGACACGCGATTCAGTTACGGTAATTTGAGGCTCCGTCCCCTGCAGCTTGCTCAGAAAACACCGACGTTTTCCCACAGGTTTACCCTGGCGTGACCGTGCAGCACCCACTCTCTTTGCTTTAGATAGCTAGAAGCCAGACGCAGGTTTCCGAGCGGTAGCTGAGATTTTTGAGGTTATTAGGAAGGTCAAAATCACCCCAGAAGCAAACCCATCCCCTCCACTACCATTGCTCTCGAAGGAGTTGGCAGCGGATTACTTCAGAGGAAGAAACCAAAAGCCCCGCTGAGCCCGCCCGCAGGGCCAGCTTCAGCCCGATGCCCAGCCTGCCGCAGTAACTGTGCCGCAGCAGAACGAAAGCCTGAGGATTTCCATCCGTCCTGCAAACCCACCTGTTGGTGCTCCTTCCAGCAGCACTTGGCTCTCGCCAAAGTAGCTTCTAATTAAGAAAACAGGATTCCTTCCCAAAAGTGCCTGGAGTTTACCAGGAAGGTGAACAAAACTGCATGTAAAGAAGAACAATTCTGTGGCGGTACACTGAATTTTTTTTCATATATTACCTTTTTTCAGTCTGTTGATGTCAACACAACATGCCTGGTCTTCTAGAGTGGTGTAACAGGCAAAAGGCAAGGAACTTGCAAATTGTGATCGAGAAAATTCAAAGACAGCACAGGAAAAGAAGAAAAGAAAGCGATGTAGACTGTTCGGACCTTGCCGAAGGAGAACCAGGGGGTGAGAAGTCGTAGCACTAACAGAGAGGGGCAGAGCGAGGGCGTTTGGACGGTTACTACACTGTCGATGCTACTCAGATTCCCTCCCACAAAGTCCAACTCCAGCTTTGCTAGAGTGGCATCTTATTTCTGCACTAAAATCATCTCTGCGTATTAAATGAATAAAAAATCCCCCATATTTAAAAACAAACCAAAAACCCCAAACCCCAACCCAACAAAACCCAACCACAGAACAGGAGGAAGCCCAGCTCCTGGCAGATCCCTAATCAGGTCCTGCAAGACCCAGAAGATGATGCTCCATGCTACCTAAACAGGTTCTCAAGAACATACTTGGAAGTTTCACTTGGTACTTTAATTACCCCAGAAGACAGAGCCTGTTCCCTCCCCGCATGCAGGCTCTCAGCCTCTGCTGAATATTCCATTCCACCAAGCAGAAACAGAGCTTCTGCAAATATTCTTTCAAATTTTCATGTGCATGAAATATAAATAGTAGTTTAAAAGAATAACTGAAATGCTTCAATTAGTAACGAGGCCTCACCTACCTACCCTCAAAATCTCTCCTTCGGTCAGTGAGATACTTTGATAACATCTATTGCACACACGGAGCGAGGTGAATTTTGGATGGTGGAAAATTCTTCTGCAGAACTCAACATAGAGTGCTCTGAACACTCAGAGCAGCTGCTCAGACAGCGGGGCTGGAAAATAATTCTTCTGTAACGCACCCAACTTTTCCTATCTATTATCTTTTGTCTAAAAGCATTCACAAAAGCAGCGTAACACCACAGGTGCAAAAGCAAAATAAAAGACCATTGCAGCTCATGCGACTGCACAAAGCCTCCAATGATACAGGTGATGGCTTCCCAAATTGAGCTTGCTCAAGCATCGCCACGGGTGGTACTGGGAACCAGCAGCAGCTCCCAGCTTCCCAGGCTGTGCACAAGCTGACACCTCAAATTTGTGTTCCTGCAATCTCCGCTTCCTCACCTCTTGCTGCTGGTGTCCCAGTTTCTTCATTTACCTCCACGTATGCTGCGATGAGGCAAAGGAAGGAGTTAAATTTTCACAGTAACAGAGAGGCAAGTTCACCCCATTGTCCACCAAAACCCAATCTGAGAAAGGTTCGCTTGGCTAGGCACAGGGAGAGGCTGGAAACACAGAGCATCAGTTACCCGGCATGGGTTTCAACCCACCCTTCTCTGAAGAGGCCATACAAGAAAAGAAAATTGGGATTTTGGGTTGTTTTTCTTGTAAACCCAGGGTACAATGACAGAGAGTAGCGAAGATAAGATCACTAAATGTGGAAAAATTCTGAGCGAGAAGGCCCAAGACCCAAACCCCAAATAAAGTGACCCCTTTGCAGCTTTGAGCCCGAGCAAACCTTAGTTCAGCAGCACTTCCACTGGTTGAGGCTAAGGACACGTTTACACATACATTTCATTCCGTGCAAAGTGCCAACTTAAACAGCTCTCCCCTCTGCTTTATTCCATTCCCACCGAGGTTCTTCTGAACCTAGGTGAGCACCTTGAGCCGGTGGAGCCCACAGACGGCACGCCAACGGAACTGACGGGGAGGAAGACATGGACAGCCAGAGGCGAAGGGCAGATGGGGGCAGCTGCTCAAAAGCCAGTACTGCTGTGCAAAGGTATTGGCAGGACAAGAGGCAATGGCCTCAAGTTGTGCCAGGGCAGGGTTAGGTTGGACACTGGGACAATTCCTTCCCCGAAAGGGCTGTCAGGCACTGGAAGGGGCTGCCCAGGGAAGGGGTTGAGTCCCCACCCCTGAGGGGATTTAAAAGTGTAGATGTGGCACTTAGAGACATCCAAGCATCATTTAAGACCATCATAAGTGGTGGACTTGGTAGTGTTAGGTTTATGGTTGGGCTCACAGACTAAATAATTATGTGATTTTGTGATATATGTGGCACCAAGACCAGAAATTCAAGGTTTCAGTCTACAATACTCAATAATACTCAGCTGAGCTTAGAAAATGCTGACTTGCCTTCTGGTTTTACTCCAAATACCTGGATTTCCAGGGTGGGGAAGTTCGTATGTACAAGCATGGAGAATGTCTTCCCTGAGTTCTGTGTCATCTGGACATGCCCTCCGGGTTAAATAATAACAATAAAAAAGGCCAAAGATTCAACCATCATTCCAGAATTCGCTAACTATAAACCAAGACCACTTGCCAGTGAAGCTAACACCTCCTGTGAGCCCTGGGCTCACTGCTCGGGCTCTGCTCAGCATGATTGATGCCTCCGAAAAGCGTAAGACCCGAGCCAGTAATCCGGCACAGCCAAGTCCAGTGCTGCCTGCAAGTCCCCATCTGCGTGCTCACCAGCACCCGATCTGACACGCCCTGCAAAGACTGAGTATTTATTGGGCAGGAAAACCCCAGACACGAGTAGGGAATGGGATGAGGAAACAAACTGGGAGGATTAAGAAGTGGTACGTTCCAGAGCCATGGTTCTTCGGTTCTTGTTAGGCATTGGAGACAGGGCGTGCAGCGAGGCTGAAGGACATGTGGAGGGACGCACGGTTGGAGTTCCAGTTTGCAATGTCTGTAAATGAACAAGACCATGGAGAGCAGGTCAACACGGCTGGTCGGAAAAGAGTCATTCGCAAGCACAGGTCTGTGGGAACTCAGACAGGGAACTAGGCGTATGGACCAGAGAAGCGCAGCTCCCTACTGCAATCCCCACATGCTTCTGCGCTCGCTCAGCGCGCTGGCCGGAGAGTGACGAAACTGGCCATCAGAAGTGGGAAATGAGGTCCTGCCTCAGCACCACCGCAGCGCAACCACGACGCAGGCTCTTCCTCATGCATCAGGTATGAAGTGCAAGGGATGCTGGAGAGGTCCCTGATCACAGCAAGATGATTTTTTTTGTCAGACTTAAGGCACTTGCTTAATTAGCCTGTGCATAGCTTAACAATGAAACAGATGCCGCGTGACAGTACTGAGCTCTTGACAGACAAATAGCTTTGGGTACCGCATGGACTGACCTGCTGCTGAGCGGAAAGACAACCTGAACTGCCCAGACAGCAACCGGAGATACACAGCTCCAGTAGGGCACCATTTATTGGCCGTCTTGAGCAATCAATCACGTAGCGCATTTTCCCCGAGCGGTTTTCCCAACACAAACAAACTGCCATTTTCTGGCAACTGTGCCTGACGTCCCCCGGAGTCAGTAAGGAGTGGAGAGGTGACGGCTCCCCACCTTCCGGGGCAGCCAGGCTGCGGCACACAGCCTTGGGATACCCCCTGCCTGCCTCCCTCCCTCCCCGCGCACCCAGGCGGCAGCACCTACCCTCGCTCGCTCAACAACCCGCCCCAAGTTTTCCTGCTTGCGACAGCACAGGGATCAGGCGGCAGGAACACACAGGAGGGGTACGGTAAAGGGAAGACAAGGCTAGGAAAGCGGGGTC